CATCAAGTCCACTGTCCGATGCTGGTAATCCAGACAACTACTATGGCAGACGGCTTCGGACTCGGTGCGTTTTACATAGTCTCCGTGAACACAAGACCAAGTTGCGACAACGAGGTCAACCCACTTCTATAAATCGAAAGGAGACTGCGACCATAACAGACGCCATAACATCTTGGTCTTTATATACTCAATTGGAAACGTGAGGCCTAAACCACTGATTGTGCGAGAATGCATCTACCAGTCCCTCATCTCGTCAAGCCAAAAAAGGTGAGCACGATTTGTGTTCATTTTTTGCAACGCCGATTGCTCTCGTCACACAACATCGCGTCCATCTCCATTCCACGACGCCTAATCTCAAGCCTTGAATCGTGCATTCAAACAGATCGGTTCGATCAATAACAGTCTCGTCACTTGCACACGAAGCTTCCTATTGGATGTGCCAGACTGACGAATCACATCAGGACAGGCCAATATCCGGCAGCGAATCAGAAGCAAGAAAATGTTAAAAACTCAACTGCTGGCGGCCTAGCTGAGATTGCCAGTGTTCTTCCGATGACTGGACTCGACGAAGAGTCAGCTTTCAAGTCAACCTCAAGCCAATAAATAGGACGAACCGAATGTACCTTGATGGAAGATGTGTGGTTGCAGTCTCCTTTCGTTGACGTCTCTTTGACGAGTTGTCGTGTGGTGCTAGGACTGGCAAGACCCACTGACGCTGCCGACGAAACGTCTGGGACTGTGCCACGTCCATGATCCGAATCTGGAGATTAACATGCATATAATGGACTCCGGACAAGATGTGTTCCTCTGCGTCTTGCTGCCAATATGACCAAGTTGTGAAAACGAGATCAAACAGCTTCGAATGTACCGTTAAAGTTGCGGTAAAGTGTTGCAAATAAACGCAGAATATGCGGAAAGACTGGGTTCAGGAGGACTCAAATAGCAAATTCTTTCATTTCCTTTGAAGAGGCGAGTGCAAGTGGTCCGTGAGTTAGCCTCACCGGAGGCTGTAGGGCGAATGCCTTGGAGATGTGAGTGTAGGCTTATGCGAGTAGGTCGCAAGCGCTGTCGAAGAGGATAGGCGAATTGCTGAGGTGGTGGGACATCAAGATAAACTATAAAGAGAAAGTAACAGTTTCCTCGGAAATGCCTTCCTTTCGAGGATATTCGAACTCCCTCTCCGGACCGACTTGATACAACCGACCTGTTTGTGCGTGAATGGGTGATCGGAACATAAAACAGCCAAACAAAGGTTTGTGCATGCAAAAGTGAGAAGTGGCAGAGCACGTGACTCGAGGGGGACAGCGGATTGACTGGTCGAAAGTGCTAAGCTTGGCTGGAGGTGGAGAGTACGCGAGTCGGTGAGCGGAAGATTGTGGAGGAGAGAGAAATGAAGAAAGCAGCCAACAGGCCGAAGCGAACGAGCGAGTGTGGACGCAAGTCAAGTGGAAACTACTTCTTTGGTGAAGGGATTCGAAGGTCGGTTCCGCCAGAAGACGACGGTGGATTCCTCTTGACCAGGCGTCGGTTGGCTTTACTGGAACATTCATTCTGACTCGGTTTCCGAGGCAATCTTCTTCCATTCCGGTGAAAAGATGCTAAGCTTTCGTGCGTCAAGTGACGAACATCATCAGAGCAACGAGGGTATCATCGTCACAACGAAATTCAAGCAAAGGAGACAATAAAACTTACCGGCGAATCCCTAAAAAGCGGGAAACATGCTCTGCATCTGGCCTCTTTGATGAAGTGTAATGTGATTTGGTTGGTTACGGTGATATGTCAACCTCGGAGCATGTGAGTGTGTCTGTCTCTGTATGCGTATGTGCCTGTTTCTGTTCGCAGTGGTGACCAAAAGTAATTATGCCAGCAAAAGTCACGTCTGCTTTCGGCCATCAAGTTTTGCTGAGCACCATCTGCCCCCTTCGAATGTCTTCAACGGCCACTTTCACTCGAGACGGAAGTGAGCTCAACAATTATGAAAGAAGAGAGTCATGGAAACCCAACTTTTCTTCACAAAGCATAAAATCTCCAAGAAAACGAGGAGATACCTCATTGAATGGACCAAGTTGGGCCAGAGGCAAAAGGCTCGACTGCAGCCGGCCTA